CGTCACTGATACTAAAGCCAGCAGAGATTGATCAAGAGCACGTTAGCCACATACACTCATGTCTTGAGAGAAGGCCATTGCCAGAACTCCAATGTATAAAATATACAAAAGGTCGCTGAGGCACTGCCGTTTTAACCTTCTTTAAGGATTATAGCGATGGGTGGTGCTTGATAAGGATAGTGCAATAGGATTTGGATGATACATAAGGTTCTGGTGAAATTTTGAGAATTTTTCTGGGATAAGGTCTAGGACAAATGGGATGTTGAGGTCATGATGGATTGGATGCGCTTGGTTTTGTTGGGTACATAGAAAGGAGCATCGACTATTGTTCGAAGGACTTTTACTGGAAGGATTGGATGCGCTTGATGTTAGAAAATTATGCTGTTCCCCTCAGTTCTAGTACGTAAGTTCAAATAGGTTTCCGTATTGTCTTGTAGTTCAGTAACTTGTTTTCAATGGAAAGTTTAGATTTTCTGTTTAGTAGTCGGTAGAGTTGGCCGTACCGTCGGTTAGTTCCTTTCTTTTAAGTCTAGTATGAAGGTTCCAGGTTAGTCGTCGGTCTAAGAGAAAGCCAAGGTACCGGTCTGTATCTTAGAAATTAAGCTGGATGACAAAAATTAAAATTAAAACTATCGTTTTCGGACAATCATAGGAACTATTTATAAATCTGAACTTGATACAAAAATATACTTATCTTGCCTGTTTATATAGAATTTAGTGCGTAGAAGAAGAAAATTTCGATAATACCTACTATCGATAACCATCCTTAAGTAGAGTTGAATAACGCACGTGGGACCCTTCTCACTCAGTAACCTCAATTTGCCAAAATTTGTTAGTTAGGACCTTCTAAAACTAAGGCCACGGATTGTCAACGAAATTCCTGTAGAATGCAAATAAATATATTTCGCTGAATCCGATCGATGGAAGGCATGATTGTTTTAATGGAAATTTATGAAAAAAAGCTGAAGATCCTGAAAGTGGAGAGGAACTAGAATATTAGTTTTACCAAGAATGGTATTGATTGCAGAATAATTGATATTTCCATTAATTAAGTTAAAAAGGGAAATAACATCTTTTTTGATGCGATTATGTGCTCGAGAATCAATATTTATATTGATAGAGAGAGAATCACATTATTTTCATAAAATGGCCCTGCCCAATTACATTGGGATGTTAAAAACACAGCATATTTATTAATCACTACAGGCAATTTTCAAAACTAATATACAATTATATAGTATTAACAATATGTAGGAACATAGTATACTATATATATATATACATACATATATATATATATATATATATATATATATATATATATATATATATATATATATATATATATATATATATATATATATATATATATATATATATATATTTATATGTATGTATTATAATTTTTTTTTTATTTATTTCTTTTTTCTTTTTTTTATTTATTTCTTTTTTCTTTTTCCTTTTTTTTATTTATTTCTTTTTTCTTTTTCCTTTTTTTTATTTATTTCTTTTTTCTTTTTCCTTTTTTTCTTTCTTTATTTTTTACTATTTCTTTCATTCATTTATTATCATTCTACACCCTTCTCTTTCTTCTCTCCCCTTATACTTTTTTCCTCCTCGTATTCTCTCCTCTCTCTTCCCAACCTAACTCATAAAATCCATAAAAATACATAAAGTACAGTGGACGTGTTCAATAAATAATAATATAATTTCATCATAATAATAATATATTCATATTAGAAAATCTTTACAATATTGATGCAAATATCGACTATCGATCTTTCATGTCCGAAATTTTGATGGTATCGATAATTATAGGCCGATATTAATATCTATGACAATAACAAATATCAGGACTTCGATATCCCATCCCTACCTCATGCTCATCCTCTTTCCACTCTTTCAAGGCAAAAGCTCAATCTATGAGATTGTACATTCCCTGCAATATTAATCCAGTACATTTAATCCTCAATTGACTTGCATGAGAGGAGGACTGAAGTAAATAATCCCGACGAAAGACCGAAACCGGTAGCAAATAAGAATAAACAGTTATTTATAGGAAGAAAATTTATTTTTATTAAATTCAAAATCACTCCTGTAATATCGAGCCTCAATGCAAGAATTGTATATTCCCTCTTAATGAACTGGATTCTTCAAAATCCTCTATTCGTAAAACCCCTTCATTAACTTCATTTAAACATATGAAAAAAAAATAAAAATAGGTATTTAATAAAAAAAAATAAAAATAGAGAATAATAAATTAATTAATCAACAACCAAAATAGATAAATATGCCATAAGAAAATATAAATAATAATAAGAAAATAAATATTAGTAATCGTCCGTGGTACAGACCCCTTTTTAACGAATTATTAACATCTGTCTGAAACTTCGTAAATAGCTTCATCTTGATCATAACCTACAAATATTTTATTTATGAATATTCTCGATTTTAATCTGGAGGTCGGCAAACTTTGTCTATTTAATTAGTTACTCAAAAATGGTAAGTACCCACTTGCTTTCCACTTGAATCTTAAGATAACTTGAGCACAAAGTCGGGAAAAAAAGGTGGTCTTGATATATGACCTAAACCCTTAAATTGTCAAAATAACGAGGTTACATAGGTCAAATGGCCCAATATTTTTATAGGCATATTAAAAATAATTTTTTTAATCGATTATGTGGTCAAATTATTTTTCGATGCAAGCGGAAAGCAAATGAGTATTAAGATATTTTTAGTACCTAATTAAATAGAGAATTCTGCGCATGCACTAATTTATTACAAACCACCTGTTACTTCGTCTCCCACAAGTGATTAAATTACTAGTGAACTAGTGAACTATAGTGATTAGAAACAGTGTCATTTGAACAATTAACAATTTGAACAATTACAAAAAATACCTATTCAATAATGGTATTAATAAAATCTATCTTGAGAAACATTTTACAGAAAGAACATTTTGCCTCCGATAATGTATTACCTATACAACTTTTCTTCCCTTGCCCAACATAAAGATTATTTTCGTTGACTTCATCACATTTATAAAAATGATACCTCTTTTAGCTCTGGATCGTTAACTTTTTTCCTACAAAATACCTTTGTTCTGGACCTCATAGGTTCATGTTCAGCCAGCGTACTCGTCATTTATTCAGCATTTTTTACAATTCTAATAAAAATATTGGACTTATCAGAAATGGAAGGTGATGCTGTAAAGTTATTTTTAATTATAGCTCTTGCATTAAGGAATAGTTTTTTTTTTTAAGAAAATAAACATTATAAAGCAATTAAAAATAAAAAAACAAATACCACATCATCATTTTTTTGCATTTATAATTGTCTTCCCTTGCACGACATAAAGCTAATTTTCGTTGACTCCATCACATTTATAAAAAGGATACCCTTGGGGAAATTAGGTTTTACACTTTTTTTTAAGATGTTTGTAAAATCAGCGGGAAATTCGATCGTAATTTTAAGCGATTCCAAAGTTAGACTTTCTGTAAACCAATCGAATGGGTTTCGTATATTTATATTATGTGTTTAGATTGAAACTTCTTGGGTTTTTTTTTTATCCCTGCACCCTTTTATATTTATTTCTATTGTTTAAACCTTCTTTGCATGCTTCAGTTTATTATTAATATTGTAAAGTTTTTATTCATGAGGAATCTCTGATAATAAAGAGTTTATCATTAAGTCTCAAAATTATTACTGCTATACTATACTTATGATTAATAACCATTATTAGGTAATTAGAAGGAAACACAACGGTTTCGTTTTGTAGCCTTTGATGTATGATGATTACATAACCAAGAGTATATTATGTTTATAATCCTTCATTATTCAAAAATACAGGATTAAGTTTCAACAATATATACAAAAAATTCAGATTTTTTTTACGGCCTGTGCCTACAAAACACTTTCCGGATTTTTACAAGCATTTGATGTAGCTTTCGAACTCTATAAAAAAGTTAACGAAGTTTGAAAATTTTGATGAGTAGATTTTTGGAATTTCTATGGGTAGGTGAAACATTCGATATCCCACCTCAAACAGGCAAAAACATTGCACTTCTTGACTTAAATACAATTATTCAGCTTAACATTTTTTTTTTTTTTTTTATATTGTTGGTAAGGTAATGAAATCTTCATAACTCTATCTTTTTTTAAAGCTTACAAGAGATAAAATAACGTTTTAAAAATATTTATAAAATGATACTGATTTAGTTTCTTTAGTTTGTGCTTCGTAGCACTATACTTTTATTATAATAACCTAAAGTTAGAGACATCTAAAAAGTAGGATAATTAATAAGTATGAACTTTATATATTTATTGTATACTTATATTGTTTTATATTTTCAAACTATAATATCATTTTGTAGAGTGCATACAAGCATTTAGTGATACCTTATAATAACAAAATGAACTTCTTTTTATATCTAATATTTTTAAGATATCTATTGCCCTCATTTTTTTATTTTTGAGTTGGATACATAAAATTAAAAAATATTATTATGTATCTTCTCAACTTTCGAAGCTTTCCTTGTCGTGTTGCCTCAATTAGAAGTTCAAGCAGAAAAACTGTAGTGCTTAGCAAATATCCTGTAATATAGTACAATACAGTTAATGGCAATATTATTTATTGTTATTTTTATTTATCATTATAATATGTATTAATCTTAGTTCTAATTATCATAAAAACAATGCGAAATTTGCATTTTTTTGATATTTTTGTAAAGTTTCTGTTTATAATTTAACATACATCTATGTTCTTACCTAACAAACAAATCTTTACCTTATCTTATCAATGTTAAATAATGAATAAAATAAAATAAAATAAAATAAAATTTGTTAATATTCCTTATCTAACTATCAATAATTATAATATAAAAGTATTGATGTAAAGCATTGAGTTTTTACTGAGTTGTGGATATAGAAATATGACACTAAATACTTAAGTGTCATCAAAAGATTCATCTAATAACAACTACCCACTAAGGGCAAGACCATTACCAAGTTTTGATGTGATTTCTAAGCAACTTACCAAGTATCAGGACGAAGAAAGCGACTTCAACGTCTCTTAAAGACAGAACCTTGAAATCTGGTTCCATTTTTTTTAGCTTTTTCCCCCGTGAAAGTCGACGTAACGTCATTTTATACCAAATACTCCAAAGCCCTCCCTCGAATACCCGAGATGTGAAGTCCGTGAGTCGTTTTAGAAATGGGCTCCCCCTCTTCATTACGTAAGACATGGGAATACTGCACACCGTCTCCTCCACGTTGTACAAGTCGGACCTCAGCTCCCCCGCCTCTATGAGCAGCTTGATTTCCATTTCACGGGTCACGAACCCATGCGTATCGAAAACCTCATTCTTCAATCGCATAATTTTCAGTTCTAATTTTAACTTATGATTCCCAATTTCGTATTTATGAAGAATATCTTTTATCGATTCGGAGTCGGTCACTAGTTGGAAGTTCTCTGTTACTTGAGGGATAGTTTTCATTCTTTCGTAGGTGACACCTTCCTTTATGGAATGATACAAAGATGCCTGGAATATAGTTACTATGACCATCCCGACCAAGAAACCCGCTGCCAGGACGATCCTAGCCGGGGTGGATCGCGGCGGCCTGCAGATCGGGGCGTTGCAGAGGGCCCTCAGGGTGGACCAGAAGGAGTTGGGCCAACTGTTGAGCTTGCCTATCCAGAGGATGGCTCTGTTCATGACGAACAGAGCGCCCACGAGGGCCAGCCACACCGTTCTCTGGAAGATCCTTCCGAAGATTGCCCAACCTCTCAGTTTGTCCGGTATTTTCATCACTATGACGACGGAGTCCATGTAGATGGAAGTGGTGTAATCAGGCTTGTCTAAATATTTCTTCTCTCGGCTCAGGAACCGTGCGTTCATGGACAGATCTACTTGGCCGCTGTGTAACTGAAAATTTGTTTTGTTATTATTCTATGGTTTCAACTATTTAACATTTCTATCAAAGAATTTAGTTTTTAATCTACTTATTTTACAATAATTCAGATTTATTGTAGTGCATCATATATCATCATAGGCTCTACTTCATATTTAAAATTATTTTTGTTCTCATGTTTTTTTTTTCATTTTAAATAATTATGTTCTGTTATTTTGTAGTAGTTTTCCAATTTTATTTTATACATCTCACATAATTATGGAGTTAAAATTATATTTTCGTATTTTTTTTTACTGAAAATTTATATTTATTGGAGGTATTCGGTATTGCAAACCCAACAAATGGCATAACGTAATAATTTTAATTAAAAAATGTCAATAATATAATTTATCATTTATCGCTGCTTTCTCCTTTAAACATAATATAAAAGATGTTCCCATATTTTTACAAAATTTATGGTTAAAATCTCAGTGGTGGATTAAGCGGTCAACGGACTATGCTGTCACATAGGATACGGGCAACAAAGGGACCACTTGGTTTAACTATCTAATTTTTTTTTTTTTTTCTTTATGACATTTACAACTGTATTACATAAATACATCAAGTAAATTTGGACATAATTGATATAATGACATGAATACACTTGCTGAGTAACTACCCAATGGTAGCACTCTAATGATATGACTACATTAGGAGATCACGGGACCATCTTCTTTTCAGACGCCTCGGAGGGTTATCAGGAATTGAAGAGGAAGCAAGGTTAGAAACGAGAGGGTTGGGTTGATTCTGAAGTTTATTATAGAAGGATAGGTATCTGGATTGGGCCAGATCTGAAATATAAGGAACATTAAGATCTTTATGGATAATTTTATTAGTGACAAAGTAAGGAGCATTGAGGATTTTACGAAGGATTTTGGATTGTAAGGATTGGATGCGAGAGGAATTCGATGGTTTAGTGGAGCCCCATAGCTCAACTCCGTAAGTCCAAACAGGTCTTATTATAGTCAAGTATTTGAGTCTTTTGTAATTAATGGGAAGCTTAGAGCGTTTGTCTAGTAAGTGCTGAAGTAATCGGAAACGTCGAGCGGTTTCTTGTCGTTTCAGTCTAGTATGAGGATTCCAAGTTAGTCGTTTATCCAGGTGGAGTCCTAGGTATCGGATTTGCTCAGCAGGGATAAGTGGAGTATTGTTAAAGGAAACTGTAGGACAGGAAGTCGTTGGTTTACGACGAAGGGTAAAGGTAATTTGGTGGGATTTATTGGAGTTTATTTTAATTCTCCAGTTTTGACACCATTCTTCTAGATTTATGATGTGTGATTGAAGCATTTGGGATGCAATTGCTGGGTCATTGTTTACTGATAGGATACATGTGTCATCGGCATATGTGATGATGACAGTGTTGGGACAGGTAGGGATGTCAGCTGTATAAACTGTATAGAGGATAGGACCTAGGATACTACCTTGAGGAACACCAGCGGACTGGGAAAAAAGGGATGAATAGGCGTTATTGTGATTTACTTTAAAGTATCTATCAGTAAGGTAGGAACGGATAATAAGGATGTATGTAAGTGGTAGGAATTTTCGGAGTTTGTACAGCAGTCCCGGGTGCCAAACTCTATCAAACGCCTGTTTAACGTCGAGAAAGACTCCCGTACAGTACATTCCGCGCTCCAATGCAGAGGAGGCTACGTCTACCACACGATGACATTGCTGTATAGTGGAATGGGAAGTTCGGAAACCAAATTGGTGATCTGGGATTATGTTTTTAGAATTTAGGATAGGGTACAGACGTTTTTAGATGAGTTTTTCTAGGATTTTGCCCATGATGGGTAAAAGAGAGATAGGACGGTAAGAGGATGGGTATTCTGGTGGTTTTTTTGGGTTTGTGGAACATTTTAACAATAGATCGTTTCCAAGGATCAGGAAAATATGTAGAACGGAGTACTGCATTATATATGTAAGTAAGGAGTAGGATGGCTTTTCGAGGAAGAAGTTTTAGGATCTGGGATGTAATTAGGTCATGTCCAGGAGCTTTACGGGAAGGTAATTTTTGAATGATGTTGGATATTTCTATGGGATGAAATGCTTTGGGTGGCAGAGACATTTGGAGAGGAATATCCAGTTCTACTTCAATACAATTGATGTGAGTTGAATTAAGGATATCGGGATGTGGGTTAAAAGTTTGGAAGAGATGTTGACCAAAGAGTTGGGCCTTTTCTTCGTCGGATTTGGACCAGGTTTGGGAATCAGTAAGTAGTGTGTGATTAAAGTCTTGAAACTTCAGAAGTTTTTTGGTGGTCATCTATAATGATTTGTCAGTAGTTGTAAGTTTTTCAGTAAAATTTAGTAAATTTTTAATTTTGTATTTTCTTATTTCTGATTTCAGTTTGTTAGTAAAACTATCTAAATTTAAAAACTTTGAAAATAACCGAAAAATATTCTCTAGAATAATTGAAAAAAATAAATATCAAACTTGTGGGTCTATATTTTGTTCTTAACTAATTGTAATTAAAGCAAAATATTTTCCGCATAGGGACAAGTGGGGTCTTGATTTAACCCTAAATATATAATATAATGATAATGATTTTCTACATGAAAATGAACTGAATTTTTTAAAATTATAAATAACTTATAGTAAATAATTATTTTACTTACCATCCTGTCGGCTCTACTGACGAAGTGATGGTGCTGCCCGGTGTCCACAGTATCAACGGTCATATTCCAGTACTTTGCTAGTTCGTAGAGCGCCGATCCGTCTATCCCAGATCCTAAGGAGATCCCAAATTCCTTTCTGAAGCTGAGGTTGTGCCTGTACATCGCAACAGCTACCCTGTACCCCTGTAGGTCCCTCCACCTCTCTTCCAAAGCTTTTCCAATATCCATTCCATCCACGCTGAACATTGTATCGTTGAAGGGGTTGTAGGCGAAATATCCGGTCTTAGTGATCAATACGACGTTGACCACTCTTTCGCTCCATAGATATCGGAAGAACTTGGGATGTGGCTCCATCGTGATGACGACTACCATCGCCCTGGCCATCCATCCGCCCTGCGATGTCACCAAGGCTATCTGCTCCTGCATGAAGCCGTCTTCCCCGGCTATGATGGCTCCAGTTATCTCACCGTCCACTATCTCCCCGTAGTCAGCCAGGATGTAAGGTATGTCTATCCCTTTCAGAGTTTCCAGGACGATAGGTGTGGTGATGACCGTATGCCCCAGGGTTTCCAAGAGCGTTGGGTGTACACGGACCCTTGGTGGGAAGAACACCGAATGGAGGCTGATGAAAGTGTGGAGCAAGTTGCTGCAGTTCATCCTGGATAATGAACTGCGTTGGCGCTTGCTTAGTCTGTAACAGCCCTTCATCAAATCCTTAATCACTTTAATGGGAGCTCGAGTCTATTCAGAGGATAAGAAGTACTTGAAAGGTTTTCCATGATTTTCCATTCAATTAATTTTATTTAATCCGCTTATGGAAATCGATTGATTATATATCTTACACGGTAAGTGGTTTGATGGAGAAAAATTATACTAAAATATTCGATCTTACGTATTGAGATATATTAATATCAAATAAACTTTGTTAAAGTAACTGTGATGATTTAACAGTTAATATAAATAACTCTGAATATAGTGTATTTACATTTGTCCTTAAAACTGAAATGCTAATTAAAAAAAAGTTCACTACAATATACTGGAATGGACGAATAAAATAACATATATCATTGTTCATTCATACAACTCAGTACCTTATTTTTTTTTTAATATATAAATATATTTTAGTAGATTTGTTTTAAATAATACAACAAAAGCCATAACTATTCATAATTTTCATATATCTTTCTTTATTTTCATGTCTGAACTAATCATAATATTACTTAGCTTTTTAAGTTCTATCTTCTGCTGTCATTATTCTTTCGTCTTTTTCTCTTGGATTCAAGTTTTATTTATTCATTTTTTGTTATTAATAAAGATTAAGATGAAATGTATACATTATCGACTTTATATAATTTTGCATTCATGTTTCATAATTTTAAAATTTATTTTTTTATTACTATAAATATTTTTTTAAAAGATATTCATTCAACATTTGCTTTTATACTGAAATTCAGGGAAACGTGAATTATTTTATCTCTAATCTTCCATACTATTTTGTTTTGCAAAACATGAAATAAAATAAAAATAGTCGACTGCAAAACATTGGTATTTAAAGAAGAAAATTAAAGTTAAAAGTGGGTAACATATTCAGATTTGTCTTTAACAGTAAAAGTATATGTGTATATTCTTATAAAGAAGAAAATTTTCTAAATTTAAATTAAAATTCTAAACTTATTGAAGAGAAGATTGGTTAGGGTGTTCAGTAAAAAAAAGTAACAATAAATAAATTATATTTTGGTAAATGAATTATATAATATTGGACTTACGAGAACTTTTCGTTAGACTTTGCACCGAAACGTCGGCAAAAATAAAAATAAAAATATATATATATTTTTCTACAATCAATCATCAATCCACAATAAGGAAATTTTATGACATTCCATTGTTATATATGAAAAGTGATGTCTCAACAATGCATATAACCTGAAAAATGAGGAATCTCGTAGGCACCCAAACACGTACAAAAAATTTGTTGATTTATTCTTTCTTTCAACAATTTAATATTCCTCCTACAATTTAAAACGTATAACGTGCATTAGGGAATGAGTATTATGTTATTTTCTCAAGAGGAATCCAGTGAAATATTATTCCTGTTTTTTCAAATATGAATGGATTAAGGGACGTTTTTCTTGGTGCAACTATCACTGCTACTGTACGTTTAACGGTGCTATGGTTATTGTTGAACGATAGTTGAGCAGAGAAAAACCTCCCTTAAATATTCATAAAATTATAAATGAGAAATATGGTTACCTGCTATTAAAACGTAGAAAGCTGCTTCAATGCCAGGATTCCTTCGAGGATCGCCTTTCGCAGAAGTCTTTCTCTTTTTTGTTTTAGCGAACCTGGTGACTGTCATATCGAACCACTTTTGGCTCAGTCCACCCTCGAATACTCTTGAAGTGAATCTTGTTAGTGGACTCAGGAAAGGGCTGCCCCTGTTGACGGTGTAGGTCATAGTGAACCTGGTTATCTCGTCTACCACGTACAGGTCCTTCCTCAGCTGCGAAGTCCCAATCAGCAATTGTAGCTCTTTGTTGAGGATAATTAACGGGTACTTTTCAAACAATTCATTGCTCACACGCTCACGAAATGGTCTTTTATATCTTTTTTCTGTGGGAGAAAAATATTTGTAATACTTTTTGATGAATCTGGATGAAGTGAGTAACGTATCGTAATTACTAAATACATCTGGAAGGGTATTCATTTTCTTGTTTGTTTCTGTCGTTTTCGCGAAGTGGAATAGTGATCCTTGAAATATCGCCACGACAAAAAAGCCTATTATGAAACCTGACAATAGGATCAAACGTTCTCTAGTAGTTCTGGGGAACCTAGGTAGCGGCCTGTTACAGAGAGATCTGACTGTGTTGCAGATAGTTTGGAATACGGATCTCTGCTTTGTGATCCAAAACAAGGCTCTGTTCATCATCATTATGGATCCGAAGAAAGCTAGCCAGAACTTCCATCCGAAAATCCTCGTCATTATCTCTCCAGTGTTCAGTTCTGTAGGTAGTTTCAATGCGACGACGTAAGCGTCTTCGTAAACAGGAGTTGTGAACTCAACATTATCTTCATCGTCAGTAGTATGAATCGCAACTCGGGCATTCATGCCGATGTCTGCTTGGCCTCTGAATAGCTGAAATTCAAAAGCTTTTATGAAATTATTTTATCTTATTATAGCAAAATTGATTTTTTTTTTTTTTTGTCAGAAATGTTAATGAAATAAAAGAAAGGTTTGGACGTATGTCTGTAGATGGAAGAATGTAGACAGCGATTGGTAATATCGGCATCAGATCTTTGGCCTCGCTAAGCCTTTTATGAATATTGTTATTAAAATTAACTTATATTTTAATATTTATTGTATTATGTTAAAACAATCTAGTTACTGAACTGTTATATTTCTTCGGTCATATTTTTGAGTTTTGGTTCAGCATGATTTATTTTTAAAACGATTTTGAGAAAACTAGACGTTCTATATATTTTTCAAATCTATACCTAAAATCAAAGAACAGTGTTGTTATTTCAGCCCTTTTCCTTAAGACATATTATACGAAATATTATTCAAATATACTTATAGTTGGAGATGTTCTTCATTTGTGCTTAGTTACATTTTTATTTTTACGAGGAGATGATAGCATGATTATTAGTGCTAAAGAATCTAGCCTTAAACACCGCTTGGATAGAGACGTATCGTTTATTGTAATTTATATATTTATTTATAGTTAATTTAAATTTTATTTCTCATTCCTCCTCTATTTTTCCCTCTCTCTCTCTCTCTCTCTCTCTCTCTCTCTCTCTCTCTCTCTCTCTCTCTCTCTCTCTCACTCTCTCTCTCTCTCTCTCTCTCTCTCTCTCCCACTCTCTCTCTCTCTCTCTCTCTCTCTCTCTCTCTCTCTCTCTCTCTCTCTCTCTCTCTCTCTCTCTCTCTCTCTCTCTCTCTCTCTCTCTCTCTCTCTCTCTCTCTCTCTCCTCTCCCCTCTCTCTCTCTTCTCCCTCCCCCCATTCTCTCTCTCTCTCTCTCTCTCTCTCTCTCTCTCTCTCTCTCTCTCTCTCTCTCTCTGTATATATATATATATATATATATATATATATATATATATATATATATATATAAATAAATTCTACACATTACCCACCACTTTGCATATTATATTATATATTTTTGGTGGGTAATGTCTAGGATTAATTTTTTGTGTTTGTTGGAACATCGATCATTATTTACAACAAATAATAAAATAATAAAAAACTATGATGTAATAGTTGATAGAATAATAGAATCCTATCTAGATATAAAATAAAGTTTAGTTACCATTGCGTTTGAACGGGCGAACCTGTACTCATCTGCTATGACATACTTGAGCGCCACTGTCATGTTCCAGAGCTTGGCAAGCTCGAAGATGGCGGTGCCGTCAATTCCACCTCCAGGCGAAAGGCCGTACTCCCTCCTGAAACTGTACTTGTGCGAGTACGCCACAACTGGAATCTTGTAGCCCTGAAGGTCACTCCATCTTCCGTACATCGTCTTCCAGGCCTCTTCGGGTTCCAACTTAACAAGCCTCGCTCGAAAAGGATTGTAAGTGTACAATTCTGTACCAGTGAATTGAATTATATTCATGACCCTCTTGCGCCAGAAATGAGAGAAGAACCTCAGCTCTAGATGTTTGCTTACGAGGATTATAATGGCCCTTTCCATCCAACCCTTCTGGGAGATGAGGAAGGCCATCTGCTCGTGGAGGTGCCTCCCGTTTCCCGCGATGACTGCTCCCGTGAGTTCGTTCTCCACCAGCTTCCCGTAGCATGCCAAGATATGTGGGTGGTCCACTGTCTGGAGGCTGTCCAAGACCTCAGGGCTGACGATGACAGAATGACCGAGAAGTTTTAAGATTCCTGGAGGTAATTCTGGAAACTGCGCCGCGGTGTTGAGGGCAATGAAAGCATTTATCATAGTCGTGATGTTCATTCTTCCCCGCTTTGTCGAACTCTCCGGCTCGGCTGCACTTGACCACTGTTGATGGGACAGCCACTCCATCTTGTTTCAAATCAATTAGTGAATACTTTAATCAAATGGATAAAACCTTTTTTGATTAATTACTTTTGAAGTATTTAACTTACATAATGGCGAGGAATCCTTACAGTAATCAAGACTTTTTTTTAAACTTAATTGTTTTAACATTTTATGATGATTCGTTAGACTATTGATGACATTCACTAAGAATATAATATAATAGAGTTTATTCTATACTTGTTAATAACGTCATCCATTTTTTTCTAAAAGTCTCTTTTTCAGATAAATAATTTAATTAAAGAAGACAGACTTATTAAAACTTTTTAAATAAAATACTATACAGAAATCCAAATGGCGAGAATTTCATTTGAAAAATAAAATTTGTAATTGAATCAATGGAGATTGTTTTTCTGCCAAGATATATAAAAAATAAAAAAAAAATAGTTCAACAAATTTCATTCCAAAGATGAAGTTATCATTTTATTAATTTGTTTAGTTTCAGTTTCTCCTAATTACCAATAGCTTTAATGATCATTCGTAATTACTGATGATTGCGGGTTTTTTGTTTGTTTTTAAGTTCTGATTCATATTTTTTTAATCACAAATTTTTAATTATGAACTTTTCTCTTTATATCAATCTCAAGGATCTGTTCCATTGAAATCTGATTATAAAATAACTAAAATACTAAATTTTATTCTTTCAAGTGATCTTAGCCTATTGTGTAAAAAATCCCAATAGATTCTCATCAATATACAATCGTCATATAAGACACAATTTTCAAACATAACTTTATTTTTAATTATAACTAACAAAAAAAGGACCAAAAAAAATATATAGAAATATTTTCCCTGAAACCTTTATTGTTTCTGCGATTACCGTGTTTTTATTATTATTATTATTTTATTTATTTGAACAGGCCTTATAGATCCAATCAAACAACATTTTATGTAGTTAACATAAAGGAAAAAAAATACTGAACCCGTTACTGCATTGCAAGTTACCCATGCAAGGTAACCCAAGTTTAAGCGATGGTATTACTCTCCTCTTCTTAAAACAGTGCAAGCGAAAGCAAAATGTATATTTACACTAGCTTTTTCTTGTTGTCTGAATTTTCCTCTAAATTTAAATTCCACAAAAATATCGTTCCCTCGAAAATCCCGTCAGAATGTGCCCACCTCAAAAATAACCTCCTTTTGGGAACTCCTGCTGGACGCTTAAAGTTTCTTATGATACGCGACGTAAAATAAACAGATCTTATGAAACTATCCCAATGTATCTAAACTAAAATAAAAATTAATATTCCAACATAAGCTTTCTAGGATTAGCTGCGAATTATACATTTTGGATTTGGCCTCTTCGCCCAATCCTAACTTGCTCGCGTCCTTGGCTACACCCCTGGTTAATGTATTATCTATTAAACATGTATTTAATAGTATATAGTATTGTGGAAAAGGTGGGGAAATGAATTATGATGAAGTAAAACCAATTTAATTATTTGAAATAAAATCTTGACAGTTTTCGATACAGTTCGTACCTTTATTACAGAATAAATTTACAGAACTAGCTTTATCACTAATCTAAGAATTAACTTATTTACTATCCATAATACATATAGATATTGCTAATTCTATTGTTGCTTTAATGCTGAATATAGTATAAGCTATTTTCTTTTTATTATTATTGAGGTGTACTGTTTCTGGTGTCCATGGAGTGATTACAGTGGTTATTGGCTTGGAGAATAGTCAACTGGATCATTGTTTACTGGTGGAATTTTTATCTCTTCTTCAACTGGAATTTTTCCTCATATTTTAATTTTACAAATCGTTGTAACGACAAACGTATTTAATTCAGTACAAAAAGAATTGGAATCCATATAATGATAATAGTTACAATTTACTTTTTTTTTCATACATTAACATACCTCTAGGTGTGATGAAGGAATACAGTTTAAATAAATTTAAAAATTATATAACTAATACTTGTTTTGTGAATTAATTTATTCAAACTATTTGCATTGGTGTTATTACATTTCATTATAAGCTAGCAGAAGATTATATCGTATATTTCTTTAATGAAACGCCAGATTTTGCGAAACGGTATTCTTGACCTGTGTTTCACGAGAAGTTCTAGAAGAAATACAACAAATGCGATTCCATGCCCTGAAAATATACATACTTATTTATTTAACAGTTTAGATTATTTTGTAAACATTGTGCATTATTATTTTATGCAATTTCCTTGGTAGTTTTGGACAATTTTCTAAACTCAGCTGGATAGCTATGGATCGGTTGAATTGGTCAACTATGTATGCAATTTATTTACGGATATTATATAAAGTATACTGACTATTATTTATTACATGCTGAATTTAGGAACTTGCCCATTCTTGTCCTATAGTAGATAATTTTCAGCGGTTAGGAACCTTCTTTAGAACTTTTTTTTGTGACTGAGCTCAATTAATGAATAGCCAATGTTGGTTGGGAATGTAGTCATGATGAAACAAAATACACAAACAAACAAAATTATTTTTATGTGTACCGAAATTCCGGCCTTCATCATAGCGCCATGTGAAGGTTTTTTAATTTTGTTATTTCTATCCCTACGTGACTGATAGTCAACTGGGGTATTAGCAGTAGTGGGATGTAACGCATGGCTACGCAACAACACACTTGTGCTTGTAAAACTCACTAGCGGATCCAGAATTTAATTTTGGGGGGGGGCTTCAGCCCGAAACCTTTTTTTTTTAATAAAAATAACGATAATTAATTTGGAAAAACAGAAAGAAACTAACTACCTATATGAAATGGTGTTTAAGTTATTCCTTAAATACTTTTAAATGTAGTTACACGAACAATAATACTTTAAGAGGTATTTTTTTCCCATAAAACATGGTTATATTTTTCCATTTTGGGGGAGGGAGGGCTTCAGCCCGAAAGCCCCCCCCCCGTAGATCCGCCCGTGGTAAAACTTAAATAATAATAATAATAATGATTTATTTGTTCTAGGCCAGTCCCTATAAAATAATATACAGAGATAGAAAAGTGGGCTTTGGAGCCTCAGAGAATAATCATAAAATAAAAAAATCTGGTATGTCCATTCACACGACTTTTCTACCTGTTTCAGAAAAAAAATTTATATCTTTATACATGTCCATCAAAAAACAAAAAAAAAATCGAATTAGATTTATTTTCCTGAAAAATTGATCAAAGAAAAGTTTTGAGTATCATTTATTTGATAAACTAAAGCGCAATGTAAACCGGCTTAAGGCAAATTTAAAAATTTGGCTTAAGGCAAAAAGGCAAGTGTAAAAATTGCCATAGCCTAATTTTGTCAAACAATAATTTATGTTAAAAGTAGAGGAAATAGTGAAGCTTTTATGACGTGGACAACAGATTTTCTTACTTTCACTTAGTTACATTTTTTCTGTAATACATCAGTCATGTTAGTTACATCAGTCATCCCTTTCATACACCAGAGTAGGTACCCGTACTCTTACATTGGAAATTAAATAGCTGTAACTTCGTTAATATTTGTCCGAAATGAACAATTTTTATATAGTTTTGTATTAAATTGCATTACCTTTCAAATAAAGAAGGATAGACTAATGGCTATAAATGTGTTTTTCGGCCTGAAGGGGCTCTGAAACGTATAGATCCGTCTAAAACCGCATATCGGAAATTTGACCCGATCGCTATACTTTCCTTACCTAGTATAGGTAGGAAAGTAACAAATACACATAATGAATAAAAAGATGTATAAATTACTTAAAATAATTAAATTAACTTTAAATAATTAAGAAAAAAAAATGAAAGAATAAAGCAAACTAAACAGTTAACTAACTAACTTATAATTTATATACATATTTATTTACAACTTTTCTATTAACATCTATATACAATTTTATGGAGACTTAATGGATAGGGAGTGATTGAAAAGGCGGGAGTTAAAAGTGTGGAGAGTATTGGATAAATGGATATAGGAGGGAATAGAATTCCATAGGGATGGGGAACGAATAATGAAAGACCCGTCGATAGCAGGGGTTCGCTGGGCCTTTATATATAAGTCTCAAGACCGGGAATGAGTATTGCTGATGAGAACAGAGGATTTGAATTGAAGGAGCTGGAAGATGTTTGAGGATTCGCGGGATAACTTGATAGGAGAAGGATGCCAGGAAATATTTACGACGATAGGAAGGATAAGGCCACTTCAACTCTTCATAAAGAACGAGAGACAGAGGCGTTCCTTGGGATTCCGGAAATGAATCATACAAAGAAATTTATGAAACGTTTTATTTTCGGCTTAGGTTCACCCAAGGTTTCCCTATATACAACAATAGTCAAGCGGGGAAATATTAAGTTATCAGGTGGTAAATTAGATGTTGTCAAGTAGAAAAGACACGGTTGGAGATATTTGATACATGGTTAAATACACTTAGTACTTAGGCTAAATGTCACCACATATTGAAATAAGTTTGTGCTTATTATTGTTGTTTTTCATTACTGGTAACTTGTGTTATTATTATTGTTTTTCATTACTGATTTCTTGTCTATATGTAGCAACCCATTATATTCGGCTAGTATTGGTTACAAATAAAGGAGTAAAGCTAAGTTTCGTTACTGTTTGTTTATCCTAATATTATAATCAGTTGCCATGGTTTTCCCATTCGCATTGGAAGACATTGTATAGTCTTCCATTTATTTAATAAATTATATATTCGTAGTTTTGTTACTTACGATAATTGACCTATGTAAAGATTAATTTAAACAAACCATTCAAGTTAAGCGAAAATTTGCAAGATATATCTGAGTCAATAAATACTTAGTTTTGTAACTTCTTTCTCATTTTAACCTGTTTACCTATAAATAGTACGACGAAAGCGACTTCAGTATCGGACATCTGTAGTCCCCGATTTGAAGGAGTTGCTTCATTTTTATCATAATATCTAGCATATTTGCTAATTGTCATGCGACGCCACTTCCTGTAGAGCCCTGCTTCGAAGACCCTCAAGGTGAACCTGGTGAGGGGTTCCAGGTAGGAGCTTCCCTTCTTCACCGAATAGGCCATCGTGAAGCTCCCCACCCTCTGCTTCAGTACGTAAACGTCGTTCTTCAACAGATTGATGTCCCTCAGCAGGTTGTAATATTTCTCTCTTGTCACAAAGCCAGCGGTTTTAAGTACGTTGTAAAAGTTTTTGTCTTCTTTAATTTGTTTACCCAATTTTCTAATTTCCCTCTTATCCCATGCTAAGAAAAAATCCCTTAAAGCGATCTCGTCTGTTTTTAGAGGTATACCGTTCTGGAAAACATCCGATAGAGTTTTCATTTTGTGATGCCGGACATTGAATCTGACAAAATGGAACATGGACGCTTGATAAATAGTGACTACGATAAGGCCAAAGATCATGGTGGAACTCAATAAGATTCGCTCCCTGAAGGCCGTTGGAGGGCGCACGATCATAATATTGGACATGGTTCTGATCACCATTTGTAAGGTATTTCTTCGATTTTTTTTCTTAGCTAATAAGCGGAAGGCTTTGTTCGTTATAAAAACGGTGATAAAGAACATTAGGTAAACCTTCCTATCATAGATGCGCCACAAAACATCCCAACCTCTCAATTTTTCTGGAATTTTTAGCACTACGCATACTTTGTCGCCGTATACAATCGAACTTAGGTGCAGTCCGAAGATGTTTTGGAATAAAGATAGTCCGGTGAACGATAGATCTGATTTTCCCCGAAGCACCTGAAACATCAATATTGATTATTGTTTTTAATCATCACAAAACATTGTGCCAAGTAAAGAATTGTAATTGTTTGAATGAATATACAAACCTGAAATTCGGAATGGTTCATTTTATCATTTACCCTAATCTTCACTGTCATGTTCCAGTATTTAGAAAGTTCATAGAGTGCGGAACCGTCTAAGCCAGACCCTAGGGATATTCCTGAGTCTGCTATGTAACTGACAGGATTCTTGTACACAGAAACAGACACTGTATTGCCGTTCATGTTTTTCCAACGGTCCGTCAGATTCATTCTAATATGCTCTCCAACAGAAATAATGGAATTCAGAAATGGGTTGTATATGTAGAGGCCTGTTGTCGTGTGGACGATGACGTTTGCTATTTTCCCTCTTGACCACATCACTGAGAACACGCGCTCATTTACACTTTTTGCCAACACGAGCACTGCGGCCTTGGGGTACCACCCTCTCTGCAAAGTCAGCCATGCCATCTGAATCCCGAGGAAGAAGTCGTCCCCTGTCACTATGGCCCCGGTGATTTCCTTACTGATCACGTCGGTCCTGTCTATAAGCTGGTAGGGTTTATCGATTGTCTGTAACCGATTGAGAGCTTGAGGTGTCACGACAATATTGCTGCCCAGGAGCTCCCACACGTACGGAGGTACGTCATGATGAGCTGCGAGGATGTTGCAGACGGTGCAGAGCAACGGCAATGTCATCCTGCACTGGTGGTCTGTTCCGTTCAGTTCCGGGGGAGGTGTCGAGTGCCTCTTGACAAGACAGTCGTGTTAAGTTGAAAGCAACCAATCCATCCCTTCTACTCAAGTGTTGCGAAACCTTTCACCGCCAACTAGTTTTAGCATTAATTATATATCAGGCGATTAAAGGAAGGAAAGGCTCAAGACGTTATTACTTTAATCTACTTTCTGTTAGTCCTCCACTATAATGATGGCTGTTTGTGAAATGAGTTCTGAACTGGTTATGCCCCATATTAATCTCGTTTTACTACTTATCAATCATTCCTTCAATTTATTTTAACAAGTTATTTTATTTATCATGAACAGTTCATGTATTAAGTTAAAGAAATTTTAATTTCATTATTTTTTTATTTATTTTTTCTAACTATTTACCCGCACCTGTCATGGTATTGACAATCAGCAGATGTATTGGGATGATGAGGATTGACATAGACATGAGGAAGGATAGTACCCTGCAGCACCTCTTCCAGGTCATTATTTAATTCTTTTATTTAGGTGAGAAAATCTCTCATCCAGCTCCCTTTTGCTCTCCTCCTGATGGACATGTCAGTCGTAGCCATGTCGTTTATAAGTCTGTTTGTGTGTCCGTGTAGTTTGAGATGAAAGCGAGAGTAGAGAGTACGTGTGTATTGATCTGTAGTTAGTTGTCGTAAGTCGTTATGTAAAGTTTTGTAGTTGACGTACCAGGAAACTCTTGTTATATGTCGTAAAATTTTGGATTTAAATGACTAGTTTTTGCAAGTGCTTCTTTTTTGCCGAACCGTAAATTGAGAGGCGTATGCCCAGATGGGTTTGAGTAGGTAAGTGTATGTATTTAGTTTTTGTTGAACTTTTAATTTCGATTTAGAAAAAAAGTGTGTACAGTATTTTCAGTTGCTTGTTTAAGGCCTGTCGTTTCATTTTATTTAAAAAATTTTGTTACCAGTTTTAAAAGTATTATTAATTATATATATTTTACAAATAATTTTATTAAATGAAATCCAAGAATTCTCACCCGAGCTGTCTTACTTTTATTTATCCTTTTTCTTCACCACGTAGCCTCAATCGCTTGAAATTATGAAATTACGTTTTCAACCGCTAAGGTTTTGGTTAATATTTCTTTTTCCTATATGTTGCAAACTTGTGACGGAATAGATCGAGTGTTTATTTTATATATATATATATATATATATATATATATATATATATATATATATATATATACATATAAATATATATATATATATATATATATATATATATATATATATATATACATAAACATACAGTATTAGAAATTACAAGAGAATTGTGGTATGACTGTTGTCCCTTGAGTATGACTGTTGAGGGATCTCAAGTTTTTTTGTATTCCTACCATTGAATTATAGAAATAACTTTTTTGATATAATTTCTGTTTAAATTTTGCGGAGATCAATATGGGAATAGTTTATATAATTGTAATATATAAAATAAAATTAGTCAGTCCTTTAAATTTTTGTTTTGGGTTGATTATATTAATTATATATTTTTATTATAGCCTTCATATATTTATATATATGATAAATTCGGGGATAAATATGAACTAATAGAGATAGCTGGTTTCGGACCCTGCAGGAAATGTCGATGACAAAACTAATTAAGTATTCGAAGGTTGTAATCTTGATTTTTAAATTTTTATGTCCTAATCCATTCGAAAAGTTATATTTACGACCAGGGTAGGATATCTCCTTCGATATATTTTCCTTATAGGAATTTATCTAATATAAATAAGGAATTGATGAATATTTTTTTATTAATTCTTATACGGTTCTGGAATTTTATGGTATATGATGGTCGGTTACGAAAATTTTTTCAAACAGGTTTATTAATAAATAATAGTTTTTTTAGTGTCATATTCTTATAGAATTAAAACGCTTACATGAAGATACTAACTGCTTTAAGATGGGTTCGGTGACAGATAAGATCTGAACATCTCCCTTCGGTCCATTTATATTTTAGAAGCCTCTAATTGTTTTCTATTCATAAGAGAAGTTAATCGTTTGATGCTCTGCTGGTTTCGGCCTTGGTGGTTTGCAACATGGTATTGCGGCTTTATAAAATGAAACGATATGTCGCCGATTTGAGCAGTAGTAGGATTAACAGTATAATATATCATATAAAATAAAATAATTTAATTAGTTTATGAACAAATTAAATAATTAATAAAATTCTTTCTTTATTATTATTTTTTTCTTTTCATGTTCCTTTGGACTCTGTACTTATGAATTAACATCCCAAACTGCTAATTGCTATATTATTTGTATTATAAATTATATTATATTTATAGATGAGCACTAATCGATAAAAATATAAATAATCGCAGGTTAAACAGAAAATAAAGCACTTTATGTATAACATATCTAAATACGATTAAAAATTATTTTTTTAATTTTTTTTTTTGTTTAATATCCCAATATTCTATATATTTGTCAATTATGCGGTTTCACGTTAAGGTATGATGGAAAGTAATAGTCCTTTTATTGCCTTCCATGAATAAATGAAATGAAGTTTTTAAGAAGTATAGCTATAAAGCTTTTAAAACTAATAGTTTCTAATCTAAGAAAATTCTTCAATTGAACAATAAAAATAAATTATAATTTATCATACTAATTGTTTTTAGTTTCTCTTTTTTATTTATTATTTTTTTATTAAGTCCCTAGAACATTAGAAAAGCGATGACATTAAACTTAACCTCGCCATTATAGATAATATAATATTTATTTAATTGCGTTTTTTTAAAATATTTTGTTTGGTTTGATAGGTCAACTAAATGTTATAGTGTTATTGCCGTATTCAGCGTCACCTATTGGCCCTTAAAATTAATGGAATGTCTCAGAAAACATCATTTGAATTCCTGAATCAAGATATCTCTCCGATATTTTTAAATTCCAACACTGTTAGGTCACCAATACTGTAGGGATAACGATCATTTGGAAATTCGCTTTATTTGTTTCCTTGCTATCCGATTTAGTCCCCAATAAAACATTTTTTATTTAATATATGGCACTCTTATTCATGACAGTGTTTATCATTAATTTTATCAGTCTTATTTTAAATAGTTTATTTACTCCTGGTTGTATTTATTTAGCTTTTTTATTGTTGCTGTTTTTTTAAATTATCATGAATCATCTGATTTTTTGAATCCTTCAGTTGACAGAATGACTAACTCCAATTTTAACATTTCTGATTATTAATTTAAATGATATTTCTAGTGGGAAAATTTATACCTTTATTCATAGTTCTATATTTCGACATTGCAAACGCCCACTCCAAAATCAACGTACTCACTGTCTGCACAAATATAAATTTTTCCTCTAGAAATATCACTAATATGACTTTACTCTCAAATGATGAAATTGGAGTTATGTCATTCTGTCAACTGAAAAGATTATTTAGTTTATATTAGTTTACATTTATTAAAGATAAATATGATATTATAAATAAAATAACATATAAATGTAAGGCAATAATTGTTAAAAATTGATAATCCAGTAAAATCTGATAAATGAAGCTATCATAGAAAAAAAAACAAATTGAAGCGAATTTAACCGTGGTAACATTACTAATAAATAATAATAATATGTAAGTAACATTAAAATAATTTCTAATCAGAAAAAAAAAACATTCGTAAATAAAGGCTTTTATGAATAAAGTCACAACGTAAACCTTGAGCTATGGGGCTCCACCAAACCTTCAAATTCCTCTCGCATCCAATCCTTACAATCCAAAATCCTCAATGCTCCTTACTTTGTTACAAATAAAATTATCCATAATGACCTTAATGTTCCTTATGTATCAGATTTGGCCCAATCCAGATATCTGTCCTTCCATAATAAACTTCATAACCATCCCAACCCTCTTGTTTCTAACCTTGCTTCCTATTCAATTCCTGATAACCCACCGAGGCGTCTGAAAAGAAGATGGCCACGTGATCTCCTAACATAGACATATTATTAGAGTGCTAGCAATGGGTAGTTTCTCAACAAGTGTTTCATGTCATTATATCCATGTTCGAATTTACCAGATGTATTTTTTGTATACAGTTGTAAATATATAAATAAATAAATAAAAAAAAACGTTAACCTTTTTGCGTTTGTTGTTTTGCTTTCCTGTTTTTTATTATTTTTTATTTCAAATATTTAATTTATATTATTATGAATCATATTCAGATTATTCTTTCTATCTTTAATTGTATAATATAAATTATTTTACTATTCCATAGGAACATTTCCGTGGTTTTGTAATGGATTAATGACATTCACCATGGAACTGTTTGGGTCGTTGGTGATATTTGCATTGTAACCTACTACATATTTCGAAATACGGAATGGAAATCACTAATGTATTCTGAATTCTTTTGTTCTATCTGACAATGAGCCTATGCGTGATTCACCTTGGAGTAAAGTCTCTCAAAAGAGGAACGAATTTTAAGTTCTTACCTTCTAATTTATAAATATTTAAGATTCGGTTTTCCATATGTTTTTTCAAGGTCTCTTCTTACTCAATCCGCAAGTTTTAAAGACTTCTACGTTGCGTGGGCTCAGAAAAATCGTGACGTTTCCACGGAGACTCATGTCGCTGAGACATTACGACTGTCGGTTTGAGTCTGACTCAGTTTCCGTCCTGCTAGCAACGACGTTTTCCTATGCCACTATAAATAGATTCCCATCATTGACTGTCCTCTATAGAGTATTGTTCTAGCCTTTGTTCCTAATAATACGTTAAAGACTTTTCCATTTAAATAATACTATGTCAGTATTTTTGTAATTACCTGTAATATTATTTATACTTATAAATCTAAAAAAAACCACAATATCTTCTCTAAAAATTAGAAAGTTAAATTTTATAATTTATGTTATAATATTCATATTTAATATTATGAAAATTTAAAAAAAAAAATTATTATCAAGTATTGATTTATGTGGTATGAAGTTTAAATATTA